ATCAAAAGAGCGACCAACGTCAAACGGGTAAGTGATCTATTTCATCTTCCTTATTTATTTTACACTATACTTTAAACAAGATATTCTACACGATCTCGTGTAAATCAATGTCCACCATCACGTTCAAATTCGGGTGATATTCGTTGTCAACAACAACAACAACAACCACTTCATTCTCAACATCGTTCAGATCATGTTCTAATAAAACAGCGACATCGTTCATTGAGTAGTGAACGAAATCATCGATCAACAAGTTCAACAAAACAACGATCACCTTCACCATCAGGTAAAATGATCATGTCTATTATTCTTCATACAAGACTATTAAGATTTGTTGTATTTATCTGTTATATTCTCAAAAGCGATTTAATCTACAACTTATATTCGTGAACGAAATAATAAATTAAGAGGATTTGAATTACAAAAGTAAATAGTCTCAATGTATTTATGAGTTTCATTCGCAATACTATGACTATCATTATTATTTAGGACTCGTCGTCAACGTTCTAGTGGTAGTACGACTTATCAATCATTTGGCTCGAATAGAGATTCTGATTTAGTACGTCGATGAATAATTTTGTAATGTGACAGTAACTTTTCTTAATTGTCGTTAAAAACGTACTCTGACACAAATACATGTTCAAATTGCATCAAAATCAGCTCAGTTTTTGGTGGTGAAGGAAAAGTGATTACTCTTCTAAAGCGGTTGCTATTAAAACAAATGAAACGAAAATACCGTTATTCAGCTTGCGACATATCGTTGTTATTTTTCACGATATTAATTGTTTAATAAAAACCGGGATATCTGTTTTGCAACATCAGGGAAACAAATAATTTGTTAAAGTCGATGTTGAAAGTTAGACGATAATATGAATTTATTCAATACACTCTAAAAAAAAAGATATTTTAAAATACGGAAAATGGTAACGGATATCAGTTGATTGTACACCTTCTTGCAGGTTTCTTTGACTAAATATATTTCTCTGTTGTTGAGCTAATGTTGCCATATGGTGTTCTAATGCTACACTTAAGTTTCTTGCATCATCGTAACAAAATGAAGCTAATGATGGATGATCAATTTTATATTGATTTCCAACATTTATACAAAATGTTAAGCCAAATATCATTAAATTTTGTTGTAAATCGTCTGTTAAATAGACCTCAATAATTTTTGGATATCGTCTTGACCAATGAATTACAAAATTGCATGCAGTAAGTTGTGCGCAAAACGGATAAATCTTTTTGACTTGTGCGAAATTATTGAGATTTTGAATCATTGTAAATAAATAACTACATGGCATAAATATGAATATTTCTTTGGTGGGGTTGTTGTTGATATAGTCTATACATTGATTTATATTATCAAAGAATTTAATAAATGTAAAAATAGGCAAGATTGATAATATTTTCATCTGATTTTGTCGAATATCTCTATTATCATCGATCAGTATGATAATTGTTCTAGAATCATTATAATTGCCATCCCAAGGCATAGTTTGTCTAAAACACGGCGAAAATTAAAGACAACTAACAGAAAAGGCTGTTGTAAAAAGAATTAAAATAAATTTTATCGTAATTAAAACAGGAAAAAGAGATGCAGTGTTTTCTATAATATATAATAAAATGACGATTACATGACAATACAAAAATAACCTACGATGGAAAAAAGAATAAGGAAAAGGTACAAATGAAAAAACGCAATATTTGAAAGAAGAGAAGGAGCTCCCAATCCACACGGATGATTAGTTCAACGTGCTAGTAAGTCCTCGTGTGTCAAAGAGATTTTAGGAAAAAGATCTTCTGCTCAGCAGTCAGTCATACCTGTCCGCGACATCTGTACTCCTTTATTCCTGTCTCTCTAAACTTTACGTGTCTTTAATGCCTTGTGGCTTCTCCTGGCTTGCCCTTATACGTTTAATTTCTTTTAGTGCATATTACAATCGAGATCATCAGGTCAGTGTTCTCATCTTTTTTTAGCTTCTAAAACGTTTGCTAATAAAGCACAAAGATCTTACCGATAAATGCGAACTGTAGCAGGCGAATTTTGAAGGATTGTGCATGAATTACGCAATGAAATATTTATAAGTTTTCACTTCGAAGTACAAAAATTCTTATATACAAATCTAACATGGGGTCTGAAATGGACATTTTGGGCCTAATGGATATTAACCTCTGGCGAAGGAAATGCAACAAACTTACAATTATTGACTGTTTCGTAATTTTCGATACACGTCAGGTATAATTATTTAATTTGATCACGTTTCTCATTGGCCAAATTCATATGACCTAATTTTTCGTATTCATTTGATTTTTGTTCATAAAAATATCCAATTTCATCGACTAAAATCTGAACAAAATCTGCTGCAATTCTATATCCACCACGGATTTTTGAATAGAATGTTGACCATGGCTGGTATTCACTTTCATGAAAAATATGAATACTGTCTACTTGGACAATATCTTGAAGCGAAGAAATCATATCAAATCCACATCTATCATCGATAAAAAGCACAAATTGCACATTTTCATTTGTAGTTATGAATTGCTGAAATTCCATTAGCTGATCGAATATAAAGGAAAGATCAACCGTTAGTTGTTCAAATTTGAGAATGAATTCTTCTATTGTTTTGTTAATATTCGAATGTGGATCTGATCCAAAAAATAAAAATTTTCTATCACTAACATGCTGCTTCCCTTCTAAAGTCTCAATAATTTCCATATCTAAAGAAAAACATAGTTGAAATATTTCTTCTCCTTCTCACCTATGATAATCACCATTCTAAATTGTAATACCCATTGTATTGATATTCGAACTTCGACATATTTATCTATGTATAGAAATTAGAAGTCAGAGTAAAAATGGGTGTTTTTATGCATATTCTTTACCTCTGTCTCCTTCAAGTACATATGCCGGACAAGTATAATGCCATAAGACCAACGGGAACATGCATACGTGACATTGTGCTGCCCTACAGTGGGCAATGATGGGAACATTTAGCAAAAAATCGAAAGTGCATTTTTTGCAGATTTAAAGGAAGAATATACTTCGATACATGTGCTATTCAATGACGTAAAAAATCTTTTCTGCAACTGTCAAGATTCGTGGAAAAACGCTTACGAAAAAATTAGTGTAAAAGCAGAGGGGTAAGCTCCATATGGATAGGACTGAAAATTTTTTGAGCTCATGGGCTCATACTGGACTGGATTCAAACTTTCAAGACCATGGGCTTGGCTGGGCTGGACTCGCGAAAAGTTTTGGATTCACTTGAGTCAAGGAATTACTAGTAAAAAACAGGTTGTTTTCGTATTCTATACCGGACTGGACTTAGAGTTTTGAGTTCATACAGAGCTCTGGTACGTAGTAGAAAATTTTTTATAAACTTAAGATCTCAAATCAATAAAATCGTTTTCTACGGCAAACGGTTTTCCCTACAGATGCGATCAGTAGAGTGAGCGCCTCCATTTTGCTCCAAATGCAAACAAGCTCAAACTTTGCCAAAATGTCCTTCTATGTATCCCACAACTGTATAGACAGCATACATTAGCATAAATGTTCCTGGATCATACAAGAGCCTTTCTAAAAAAACTTGGATTTTCACGTAAAGTCCATTTTTCTCGGTCCAACCGCGCGTGTATTGAAACTCAAGATGATATTTGGAGTCATGGTGGAAATTTGTTGCATCAAGTGATGTTTGATTACATAGATTTCAGGAAGAAAATTTTCAAATACAACCCCTTCTGCTCGCTACTGACAATTTCTTACCGAAAGCTTATTGTTTTCATTTTCGTGATACAACGCATAGTTTCATCCAAATGAAGCTGAACCGCAACGACCTTAAGCTACGAAAACAATCGTCTTTTTTCAGAAATTGAGCAGAGATTTGGAATCAAGAGTACAGATCATTCGGTTCAAGCAGGGTTCTTCGTGATAACCCCTCCCTGGCAGGGTTCTCGACAATCTAAAGATCTTTTAATATTGTTGGCTATATCGCAAGAATGAGCGTATCAAAAAACCTTTAGAACACTACATTTCGAAATTTTTTTAGCACTTTTATGTGACTTGGTTCTTCAAAATCGTGCACTTTTTGTAATTGTTTTTGATTATCTGCGTAATATTGTTTACACATCAACAACAGCTGGTTTTTATCGCAATCAGATGGCGATAAACGAATAAGAACTTCCTTCAGTAGCTGAAAATAACAAAAAATCTAGTATTTTGTTTACTAATATGTTGATTTATAAGCGATTCAAATATATCGACTGGTAAAATACTGTTTGGATAAAAAACAAGATCATTTGATAAAGTAATTAGAGCAGCACCAATATCACCAAATATTCCACCAAATTTTTTGGCATAAGTTTTTGTACATTGTATAGTACGTTTGGCTATATTTTTGTTATTACATAAATGCGTTCTACTTGGTTTAATTCATAAATAAGCGGCAAAATATCGTAACCAAACGAATCAGAATAGATTAGAAATATTTTTTCATGTTGAATAGATGTTATGTAATCTGTGCATTTATCAGTATCTTCAAAAAGTTTTACGTAGTTTATAATCGATCGCGGTCTTTGTAATATAGCTGATGTTATTCTTGTATGAACAAATGGATCGAGCCAAATTAATGTATAGTTCTCCAGATTTTTGTCTAATAGTGCCATATCACTTAATGCAGAGTTTAGGGTGAAAGACGAGTATAACTTTCTATAGTTATAACTTGATGCTTTAAATAAGACGGGCTTATCATAACGAAATCAATGCTTTCCCGTTTGTATAAAATAATAAGTCATAATTTTATTTAAAAACACGAAACCGGTTTTATCTTTTCGTAATTCACATGGTTTATTTGTTAGTTCGTTCGTGTAGAAACCATCTACTCTTTTTTTTTCTCTATCCATCCATTGTGTTTGTTTTCTTCTTAATTGTTGAAATTTATTTTTTTCCTTGTTTTGTTTATACCTTTAGGTGAATTTTTTACCTTTACACTAACAGAACACACCATGTCGATGTTACAGAAATGTTCATTTTTCATAAAAAGAAAACAGAAAAACAAAATAACAGATTCAAATGTGATTATCTTATTATTATTAGTTTCATTTCCTATTAGAAAACCCTTGATTTGTACCGTGAAATATTTGATATTAATATTAAAAGATTGATTTGCATTGCCTTTGTACGATGAGAGTTTGTTCTGTATTTTGCGTGTAAAAGTCGATCAGGCAGAGAGGATTTAATAATTTTCTTTGATTTTGTTTACGCTCACTGGATTTTGAAATACATTTGATCGGTTTTGATCCAACTTTATCAGAGTGATTTTACTACACGCACTAGCAATGATGTCATGTGTAATGTGATATTATAATAACAAATCTACATTCGATCAATCAGAATGGTAGAAAGGCTTTAAATAGAATCTTGAAAATATGGAAAATTTGAAACCTTTTGTTGATCAAATGCTATTTGTTTTTATTCTTCAAATATTTTGAAAATTGATTCAGATATAATATACACGACATAAAGCAAATCAAATAGTTTTAAAAAAAATAAGGTAAGATGTGTACAATGTAATAAATATCAGTACGAGTATTTCTATTTACAACAATAACAATAACATCTGTCACCGGGACAAAAACAAAAACAAGTGTAGTTTGAAAGACAAAAAGAAAAGACAAAAAAAAGTTGAATGAAAAATAAAAGACTATACACAATGAAAATCATAATATGACGGAGTGGGAATGTGTGAGTACAATTCAGTATTATTTATTTCATATAATGATGTTGGTATTGAAAATGATGATAGATCGTTTAAAAATTGAACATAGCGCTGTTGAACAAAAGTGATTGTTTCGAATAAAAGACAGCGTCTATCCTGATTCTTCATGATTTAGAGCTGTTTTAGAACGTGTTTGTCGAGTTTTCTAGATTTTTTGAGTAACTATAATCCTCTTCTTTTGCTCAGTTACAGAACAGAAATCTTATTAAATGGCAATTCTAGAGCATAGAAGCAAAAGGAAAAAGAAAATATAGCTGAACTGTAGAGATCAAATGTACCGCTTTTAGTCTTCTCTTCTGTTAACCTTACCGCTTTCCATTTTTCTATATACGCGCTGCAGTAGACAATGGGATAGAATAAGAAAAGCACTAACTTATATATTTCAATCGAAATAGTTCATTCACCTTGTAATGCTCACAAGTTATAGAAACTCATTTGTTATATTTCCCCCATCTAGGTTAATGAGATATTCTATATGAGTTATTTTGATTTATAAAAATGACATCTGCTAATTTATATCATGCTTGCGAAAACAATAATATTGAACAAGTGATGCGTTATATTGAATCAGCAAATATCAATGATATAATTAATGAAAAATGTCATCCAAGTGGAAGTACTGCCCTACATATTGC